TGCTGCTTGGCCTGCTGTGTTCATCCAGCCCTGCACCTTGTTGTCTCGGATTCTCCAGCATCTGCAGTTCCTACTATCTCTCTTCCACTACTGAGGTCCAGTTTAGGATTCTATGACAGGATCAGGGCTCCTTGCAGCTTTTAATTCCACTGAGCTGTCAAAAGACATCCTGGAGTGAGGACTACCCCATCCCAGTGTTTGCCTAACTGCAGGAACCATTTTATAAAGTTGGAGGCCAGTCATTGGCTCTGTGCCTTTGAGGGCCTGTTTGATGTGATCCTGTCATCATGTCATTTATAGGGGGAGGGATGTTCCTCCTGTTGGAAGTCCTTTGACTGAAAGATTTGTTTGGAGGTACATTTGGATACAGAAACAGTTCTGATCTCCTGCCCCTAAAGGAAATATCTGACCACAAATGTCTGTGTCATACTCAAAAATCATTTGAAAACCAATTATTCTTCTCTTCCTGTGAAGGAAGAGAAAAAAAGGGCCCCACCAACAGAAAATATTTTCCACTCGACTTTTAAGTGTAGTGTTCCAAAAAAAACCCAACCGACTGCATCCTCCAAAGAACAAATAGCTCTAAAAGGTGACACCCTGCAACTTGTGGTTTTAAAAAAAAGGGTCGCTCATTTTACCTAGATTAGTGAAGATGTCATACAATATGGGTGTTCATTATAGTGGTGTATGATTACTGTAATTGACCTACTAAATAGTTAATAAAGTTATAATATAAAAAAAAAGTGACTGAGAAAGCCCACGTCCTGGTGCAGCCGACACTGTATCAATTATACGAGCAGCCTGTTACTTGAGTGGATCGGAAAGTCTCTTTTTTTAAAAAAAATCAATTTGTTAATTAGTGTTTCCGGCGAGTTGTGTATTTCCATTTATGGGGCCTGACTTCCTCCAACCCTGTAGTTAAGAGAAGGTACCGCCCCTTAGACATGACTTTGGCAGTGAGTCGACAGGAACTCTCTATCAGAGAGTGGTTTGTTTCAGGTTAGTTTAGGAAGTGGAGAGTGGAGAGTGGAGAGTGAGAGAGTGGAGAGTGAGAGACTGGCAATGAAGGTGTGTGCTGTTTAAAATGAGTGTTTATTATAAGTCAGACGGGGAGGATGGTGCTGCTGCTGCCGTTGCCGAGTCTGAGCCGCATGTACTTGAAGTTCTGGTGGAAAAGCCTGGGCGAGGAGCTGCTAATGTCGAGTGCAATGGGACTTCAGGCACAGGGCGCCGAGCAGTCACCAGAAAGCACTCCCCTGTTACTTCTTGCTGTCACTCTGAGACCGTCAGAGATTCAGCTGATGAGGGAGGCACTCCAGGTACTACTGCTTTCAAACTAACGTTTCAATCCACTTTCCCTACCCGCCCCGCTCTATTTGCTGTATAGGTTTTAATCTTGTCTTATCTTTTAAAGCGATAGACACTTTTTTTTTTCTCTCTCCCTCTCTTCTCGGGGTTAGCACTTAAATTTTTGCCCAGTCATGTAAGTTTTTTGGCAGCACCCAGATGTACATTCATTCTGGGGATTGGGTTACTGCCCTGGAAGATTCGGTGTCCGGATCAACATCAAAATATCCTCGTCCATTGCTGCATGGAAGGCAGTTACAAATCACATTTTGCCCCGATGCCCTGCATTCACTCCCTTTTTTTTGGGAGAGAGAGACTGTCCACTGGGAACACACGGTTGCCCACAGTCTACAACCTGTTTGTCTTTGCACTTTAACAGGGGGCTGAGAGAAAGAGAAACACCCCCCTCTCCAAATTCTAAAATCTTTCTGGGGACACCTGCCCGCACGTTTGTTTGAAAGTCTGTTGGTTATCAAATGAGGAATGCTACTTTTGTTACAAAATGAAACTCATTTTGGTAGTATACCACAGCAACAACTTGTGTTTATGTACTATGATTTTATATCCTTAGCAAATGTGTATCAAGCTAAAGGGTACTTGTTTAAAATTTTTTAAATATCATCAATCTATTCAGTGATGTTATTACACACCTCTGCAACTGGTGGTGCTTGAACCAAGCCTCCTGGTCCAGAGGTAGGGGTGCTACCATTGCAGCACAAGAGAGTCTGAAAACTGAACTTAACAGTAACTTCACCTTTTCATATCTTTTTCTAATTAACACTTTTTTAAAGATGTAATGACACAACTCTAGAGCAGGTGGGACTTGAACCTAGGCCTCCTGGCTCAGAGGTAGAGCCAATACTACTGCACCTTAGGGGTGGCCAGCAACCTGACTGTCAAGATGGATTTTAAAAGGAGTTGGAAAAGTTTTTGAGAAACTTAAGGACTAAAATATATATACATGGACCTTTTTGGAACCCCGGACACCCCAAGGCATCTTACAAACGATTTAAGTGTGATCAATGTAGTGATGTAGGAAAGACAGCTATTGGCAGAGGTTGCTGTGCACGGCAATGTGGTTCTGACCAGATGATCTGTTATTGTGAGTTTAATGAAGGGATGAATATTGACCTGGGATACCTGGCCTGTGTTCTGTGAAATAGTGGCATGGGAGATTTCTCCATTCACCTGAGAGGAGTTTGGACCTGGACCCCAGAGATGTGAATGTCAAGTCATGGCTGATATTCTGGTTGGAATTCCAAAGCATGAAACTGAAGTGGCTGATGGCATAACTACCACTAACTGGGCAAAGGGGAAAAGAGGAGAGATGCACAAGAAGGCCAAGGAGCTGGTTAGTTGGGGGCTTTGATGATGTTGGACTGAAGTAGTTGACGGAGAGGGATTTGTTGAAGGCAAAAGGGGTGGCACGTTGGCTCAGTGGTTAGCACTGCTGCCTCACAGCGCCAGGGACCTGGGTTTGATTCCACCCTCGAGCGACTGTCTGTGTGGAGTTTGCACATTCTCCCTGTGTCTGCGTGGGTTTCCTCCCACAGTCCAAAGATGTGCAGGCTAGGTGGATTGGCCACGCTAAATTGCCCGTATTGTTCAGAGATGTGTAGATTAGGTTGGTTACCAGGGAATGGGTCTGTGTGGCCTTGTTGGGCCGAAGGGCCTGTTTCCATATTGTAGGGATTTTATGATTCTATAGAAAAATTGCAGAGGCACTGGAGTCATGGGTCAATGTTAGTGAGGTAATGAAGACAGCACTGTGTGTAAATGCCAATTGCTTTTACTTGTTCACTGGTGGGTTGCGGCAATCACTGGCTGGCCAGCATTTATTGCCCATCCTTGGCTGCCCTTGACAAGGCAGTGGTGAGCTGCCTGTTGAATTGCTGCAATCCATTTGGTGTAGATTCTTCCACAGTGCATTAAGGGAGAGAAACCTAAGATTTTTGACCCAGTATTCTGGTGAGTGACGTGGCGGAAATTTTGAAGGTAGTGGTGTTCTCTTGTATCTGCTGCCCAATTCAGCGGGTGGGGGGGGGGTTCCTTGTCTACATTTGAGAATTCATGGGTTTTGGAGTCAAATTTTGAGAACTCCTCAAGCATTTCCCTCCCAACTCTACACACTGTGCCTCAACTCTGAGTCTGTCCTGCCGACGGGACAGGATGTACCTAGGGATAGTGATGGTGTCCAAGACATTGTGTGTAATGTTTGATTCCATGAGTATGATTATGTTGGGCTTGACTAGTCTTTGAGATGGCTGTACCAATTCTGCAGTCTGCTGGGAATCTCTGGATTGCCTGTCCAGTGATAATATCACTAGGCCATTAATTCTCCCCTCCTGACTGGTGACCAGGACATGCTGCCGAATAGGTTACAGGCATCAGAGTTCTGGTGAGCTGGACTTTGTACAGAGAGTGTAGGCGGGGTGAGAAATCATTTGGAATAGTCAAATCTGGGGCTGGTGAAAATTTGGATGAGTGTTTCAGTGAAAGTAGGAATGAAGTCCGGCAACAAGCTGGACGTAGGAAGTCTTAGTGATGGATGGAAGGAACGTGTTGAGGGGGATGGGCTGGTGGTGGTGACAGTGAGTTGGAAGCAGCAGAGGCACATGAGTAGAAATTCTCCATCTCTTACGCTATGATCTGCACATAGATAATGCTGGAGGTGAGAGTAGTGGGCAGGGGGAAGGTTTATCAAAGAAGACTGGTTGTGATGATAAGTAGTCAGGGGTTCTCTTGTATCTCCAAGATAATCCTGGGGTGGTGAGTGATCTCAGCAGGCAAGAGTCAGCCTTGAAGATTTTTGCTGTGTGCATTCAGACCAGATGTGACGGATGGTTGAACCAGTTTTCTGCTGGATACACTGAACTCTAATCCTTGGACTTGAGGGAGCAAAAAGGACCATGCAAGATGGAATGACCAGGATTTGAAAGAATAAAAGTTCTTTTGGAGACAAGAGCATCAAAGCTGGAGGTAAGCGAATGGTTCTGAAAGTTGTTGGCTGCAGAACTTTCCTGACATATGGGAGTTTGAAAAAACACATGGTTGTCAATACTTTTGGAGAAAGACATTCATCCTGGGGATGACTATGATTGAGCAATACAAGTGGATGTGTGCATGACATTAGGTGGAAAAGATTTTGTCTGGTATTAAGATTTTGGGAATAGTGAGGCTATGGGAGATGTTGAGGCTCTGTGGGAAAGTCAGGAGGAGGACAGAGGCCCAAGTAGGTCTATGAATGTTTTGAGGCTAAGCTGTTGCTTCTTGTAGAGACAAGAGAAGTAAAGGCGAGAGGATTAAACTGGGATTGAGCTTGCAGGTGGTAGACAAGATGACTTTACTGGCAAAGTTTGAGGTGGAACAAGCTGAAATGTGTGATGATGAGGAGGTGGGGAGAGGGGATGAAACTTGGTAATCACTGCAATGCTATTTGTAATAAGGTAATGGTTAGCAAAAGGCTGGTTTGGAATGGAAAGGTAGCAGGAGAGGAATTATTGTGTCATTGTTGGGATGGGAAAAGCCAATAGCCACCTACAGAAGGCAGGGGAGGGGATGGGACACATGGGACTCCAGATTGAAAGGAGCTGAGTGTCAGCATCTTGGTGGATTAGTCCTGGCATTCTTCAGAGACACAGAGTTTAATCCAGAGGGATTTCGAACCACAGAAGAGTAAGAAGGTGGAGGAGTGATGAGATGGGGGAGTGATTTGAAGCATCCCATTCCTGCTAGAAAGAAGCAAGGAAAGGTGTGAACAGAAATAAAAATAACCTGGAACAAATGGCTTTGACAAAGAGAGAGAGAGAGAGGGCACAGAATCAATGAGTCTGGGGTGGCACCGAAACCAGGCACAAAGGGAATTTTGCAATACAAAAATAAGGATTTCAAATAAGTGAAAAATGTCAGTGGTGAATGGAGGATTCCACACCACCACCACCTCTCCCCACATTCCGCCCCCCCACCGCCCCAACCCCAGCCAAACACCTCTGGCTTGTTCCAGATTTCTTGTATAGAATAGCTTGACAATTGTTGCACTTTGGTACACTGAGTCCTTTTTAATGTTACAGTATCTATTTATCTAGTGCCAATGTTACAGAATCAATAACCTCTTCAAATGCTAAGGCAGCACAAAAGGCAAGAGTCAGGTTCAGAAAAAGTTCTTTTTTGTTAAGGCACTCGCTCTCGCCCTTGCTCCCTAACCCCAACCCCAGTCATAGTCATAGTCCTAGTCATAGCCATACAGCATGGAAACAGACTCTTCAGTCCAACTAGTCCACACCTATCATGTTCCCAAACTAAGCTAGCCCCATCTGCCTGCCCTTGGCCCATATTCCTTCCAAACCTTTCCTGTTCATGTACTTATCCAAATGTCTTTTAAATGTTGTAACTGGACCTGCATCCACCAGTTTCTCTAGCAGTTCATTCCACACATAAATCAGTCTGTTTTAAAATGAAAAAAATGCCCCTCGTCATTTTTAAATCTTTAAATAAGACCCCCCCACCCCCGTTTTGAACTCTTCTGCCCCACCCCTAGGAAAAAGACCCTTGTCATTCACCTGATCTATGCCCCTCAGGATTTTATAAACCTTAACAAGGTCACCTCTCAACCTTCTACGCTACAGCGAAAAATGTTGGTGTCTTTCCAGTCTCTTTTTTTCTTATATCTCAAACTCTGCATTCCTGGCAACATTCTGGTAATCTTTTCTGAACCCTCTCCGGTTTAATAATATCCTTCCTATAATAGGGCAACCAGAACTGGACACAGTACTGTAGAAGAGGCCTCCCCAGCGTCTTGTACAACCTCAACGTGACGTCCTGATTCCTATACTCAATATGCCCAAGCAATGAAGGCAAGCATGCTATGCTGGCTCTTGACCACCCTGTCTAACTGTGAAGGAAATTTCAAAGAATTATGTTGCTGAGCCTTTAATTAAAGTTCTGTAGTCACTTAGCTATTGCATGTGGCTCA